CCTAAAATTATATAATCAATTGATAACAATGCAATTATATGTAAACCTAAGGGCTTGAGGAGCTGGGACCCCCAACCCCCCGCCCCCCCCCCCCCCCCCCCCAATGTACAAGAGATTGGTAGGATTCCCTCAAATATATTAGATGAGTTTCTAGCCTAAAATATAAAAAACAAAGTATTTTAGGCACAGATTTTCCTCATAAATTTACAAGTAAGCATTTTGGGGCAAACACATCAACAAATCAAATATGCTTATAGTATTACACTTATAGTATTATTTTTAGAAATTAAGCCTACCTGCAGAAGGCAGTGCCTTAGTTTTCGAACCAGACAAATGGTTAGGAACTTTCTTTAACAAATAGGATAAATAAAAAATCTTAGCTCTCTTAGATGAAATGGGAATGCCAAGGTATGTGAAATTGGAGCAAGGAGTTGGGATGTTAAGGATGTTGCAGATATCAGTAGAGGAAGGGAAATTCAGATATGTAATCACGAATCTTTTTTCAAGATACACATGTAAACCAATGTAATTTGAAAAGCTATTAAGGATTTTTATAAGAGAGGCGACATTTTGAGTATTGGCTTTCCAAAGCACCACAAGGTCATCAACATAAAGGAGATATAAAATGCTATAGGATCCCATATTAGCACCAACAAACCCAACATAAGCAATCTCCCCATTAATGAGACAAGAGAAAGCATACAAGATTCACATTTAAACTAATGTATTCTCTATTGTTTCATCTCAATTTTGTGATTTCTATTTGATTATCTCAAATTTTTGACCCATCACTGATTTTGGGATTTTTGGAGCTTACAATATTTTTGTGGAAGCTCTTTTTCTTTTTTATATACTGTAATCATCTCTTTTTTGTAATCTTCATTTTTGTTAATGAATGGACTTAGCCCCTAATTTTCCAAAAAAAAAAAAAAGTTATTGGAGGGTCATGCATTACGTAGATGATGATGAATGCTTGCTTTAGGAGTTCCCTTCGAGGGTTGATGTGGCAACCTGCTTGGCATTTGGAGGGCTCTTTGGCTATCAGGGGATGTTCTTCACTATTTGATTTTTGCATGCCTAAAGGAATTTTGATCTCTGGAGCATTTTTTTTTAAAGAATTGTAGGGGCATAAACCTAATTTCCATTGAAAAGAAAACTTGTTACATGTGAGAAGAACTAGTTACAATAGAAGGATATAGAAAAATTATGTAAAATACCAACAAAAAACGAGCAGAAAAGCTCACAAAGACCTAGTGAAGAAGATCACCGAAATTAAACATGAAACCTAAAATGAGAGGAAATAGATGTGTATATGTCTCAAAAAGGCTCAGAATAAGAAGAATTACATTGATGATTATGAGCCAATAATCCCTTGGTTGCATCCATCACTATACATAATAGGTATGGGCTTAACAGGTAGCCCTGCATAAGGCCAACAAATAAGAAAAGAAAACCCCTCTAAAGTACCATCTAAATAGATGAAAAAATAAACATCAGAGATCCATGCTTTAATCCATTAGATGAAGATGCAAGGGAATCCTTTTTGAGCTAATCTTGCAAGTTAAAATTCACTTGACACACAGTCAAAACCTTTTTTAATATCTAATTTTGTAGACATGAGCCTCATGTTTGTAGATTTTCTGGAATAGTGCAGAAGTTCCATAGTAAGAATTGTATTGTCTATAGATATCCGTTATTTTAAGAAAACCAACTGGTTCTCTTTTTATGATAGTTGGAAAAAGAGGTTTAAGTCTTACAGATAGAACTTTGTCAATAATTTTATAAATGGTGTCACAAAGAGATATGGGCCTGAAGTCAGTAATGGAACTAGCATGGTTCAATTAAGAATTAAAGCAAGTGTAATGACCTTAACACCCCTAGGCATGTAAGATTTGTTAAAAATATATTTCATCATTTTACAAACATTCGGGACCACTAGCAACCAAGTAGACCTGTAGAATTCAAAATTAAATCCATTGGGACTAGGAGCTGAAGTGGAAGAGCTAGAGAAAACAACCTTCGTAATTTCACTATCAATAACATGGAGGGTAAGGGAGTCTGCTAGATGCGTATGGAGCACAACACCAGATGGAAAATGACTGACATCCGGGGTAGGGTAGGTGGAGAGTTATAAAGAATCTAGAAGTGATTGATGGTGGAGTCAACAACATCAACATAGCTAGAGAAGGGGTCAGTCTTGGCCAAGGTGATAGAATTTAGGGAGATTTACATACATACCACTTAATACTATTCTATTTACATATTTAACACTTAAAACTTTAATATTACATAAATACCACCCATAGTTCATTTTCATACCAAATATGAGTGGTAGAAATGAAATATATGAGTGGTAGGAAAGAAATATAAGTGGTATATTTGATATTAAAATAATATAGGGTGGTATGCATGTAATATTAAAGTTTTGGGTGTTAGATATGTAAATAGGATGTTATAAAGTGGTATGTATGTAAATTTCCCTAGAATTTATTATTATAGTTTTTTTCCTTATGTGGATCTTAAAATATAGAAATTTGAGATCATCCACTCCATGTGCTAACCATATAGATTTTCCCTCCGAATAATCTAGGAGGCTCATGCAGAAAAAATTTTCACCATATTGAAGTTTATACTCTTAAGCTCACAATAATACTCCACATTCAGAGGGTTAGAACTCAACTTTTCAATACAATCACCTTGGTTTAATTAAAGGTCAGATAGGTGCTTGGCAACTGCATTTGAAGTGGCCCAATCCTTAGTCTTAATAGAGGATTTTTGTTACTTAAGCCTTGAGTAAAAATCCAGTAAGGGGTTGCCAACAGGTTTAGCAGCAAAAACTAAGATAAGGATACTCCAAAACTTGTCCAATTTTGTCCAATAATTTTTAAATAGGAATATGTGATGATTAGGAACAATGAATCCTAGATGCATAATTAAGGGAAAATAATCAGAACATTTAGGTACGAATAGGTAATATTTCAAATTCAAAATTTTGCCTAATTTAATGAACGATGGAGTTTTTAATTATAACTGATCATCTAATATGATGTGGTGTTTGTACTATATGATTAGTTCTATTTCAAAATTATTTTCTTATGAAAAATAAAATATTTTAATTAATTTTTATAACACCAGATCATACAGAATGATCTAGATCATACTGTATGATATATAAAAAGATTAAAATATTTAATATTATTTTTGCTCCCCTTATGTGTGCGTGCACGGTCACCAGGCTATCATACACCCTTACAGGACTTGACTCAAGAAGTTAAAAATAAATAAAAGAAAATTACAAACTCTTTCAACATAACCTATTTTACCCAATCTTCAGCCCTGAATCTTCGAAGAATGGTGCATGTTGTATCTAAAATGTTAGTCAACACACAATGTGAGAGGACGATAGTGAGATTTCTATGGAGAGGAATCGGAGTTTCACCAGCCGCAGGATGGGTCCGAGCTCGTGAATTGAAGTCCCTTGGAAAAGGGCAAAGAATCACCCGTCAGTCTTTGGAAGAGTCCGAGGCTCGCGGTTTTTATTTTCTCTCTTACGTTTTATCTTCTATCTTTCTTTGTTTTTGTTTTGTTCCCTCTTTTTTTTCCTAGACATCGTCTTTCTTCATCCTCCCCTCTCAACCCCTCGGCCAAACCACCATACCAAGCTCCACAAATTTTTCCACATAGCCGCCGGCCACCTTCACCCGATCCCACCCTCTTGGCCGCCGACCACCTTCCCCTATTAGCTCCTCCACCGCCGGCTACTCTTGTTTGTCTCCATGAATGAGGAGTCAATGTCACCTTAATGCTTATCTAAAGAGTTCAAATAATTTAGGAAATTATTTTCATCCTTTAAAATTCGAATTTTGAATTTCAAATAGTTTCCTAAATTAGAAAGCTATTTTAGGAAAGTATCGAATCTCATTCATGATGTAATTCAAACTTAATTTGGGTGATTTAATTTTGGACGGTTTCCAAATTTTCAAATTCCACTAATTTGAAAATTAAATTCTTTCCTAATTTATCATTCTATTTTTGAAAAGTTTCTAACTTGACACTATTTTGAATTCAAATTTAAATAGTGCCAATTAAATACTTTCCTAAGTTCCAATCCAATTTAAGCAAGCTTGTACACATGGCACCCAATCCCAATCCCCCATGATCTTGCTGCCGCCCCCCTCTTTAATAGCCAAGCAATTTCCATTTAATTGTTTCCTAATTTTAAGTTCCTCCTTTGGAAATAATTACAATTCCCGTAACAGTTTTGTTCCTCACATCCAAATTCTCAAATCTCCATTTAATTGCTTTCCATTTGTATTATTCTCAACTTGGACAATTTGATTTATTTCCAAATCACTGAATTAATTTTTAGCTGAAAACCCCACGTCCCCTCCTCATTTAATTCCTTCCCAACTCATATTTTTCCCGTTGGAATTAAATCCCTTTTTCCTCTCAAGCTCTGCCGCCCCCTCCTCTATCCTAGTTGCACTAGAAAAGCTTTTCTAGTGCAGAACCTGATGCTTGGCATTTACCTTCAGCCTTCTCATAGCCATTAAGGCTTGACTCCTCCCTCAAATTCAGCCACTACATTTAATACACCACAAAATACAAATTCCATAAATCAAGGCATCATCCTTGCTGCCTTCCAAGTTGAACACCAATTGTCCTGCGCCACCTAACAATCAGTACATCTTAGGAAAGTTACCAGCTGCTGTCCTAGAGTTTATCCTGCAATCAAGGAAGACTCCCACTGTATTCAAGCCATCAAGAGTTTGCAGGAATTCTCCAGTGCAACCCTGTGGAACTCCACCTCTCCCTAGCACAGCCTCCTACCAGTTCTATATCAAATAAATCATCAGCTAAAGGGGGATCCGCCCATAAATAATATTTTTTTACTACTTCTTTAAATAACTATCAATTTTTATATAAAAAATCTGATTTAAAAATAATAAAAAGTATAGTTTTGCCCGTGTCTTACTACTAGGTTTTCTCAAATCCTTGCAATGTCAGTGACGAGCAACGCGGCACGTAACGGTTTGAACGACACTCTTCCACCTATACATTCACCGTCTAGTCCCCTGGTTCATGGCCTCGCCCAGTTAACTGCCACCCACCATCGCCACCCTGTTATAATCGACGGGATGCGTGACGGTCCACCGCCCTTTAATGACGGCTTTCGCGAGTCACGGCTGCTTCTGCCGGCGTTGATCGAGGAGCAACTCGCGGATCAGTACCATGAGATACAGGGCTTGCTTCTCGATAACCAGGGGTTGACGGCTACTCACGTCACGCTAGAGCAAGAACTTGCTGCCGTCCATCACGAGCTCCATCGCGTCTCCCACGCCGCTGGGTCTATGCAGGCTGAGAGGGATGCTGAGTTTCGGGAGGTATATCTTTTCTCATTAATCAATTATAATAATAATTTTTTTAACTTTTGTTTTTTTTGTTTCCTCGTTCTGGGGTTCTCTATTTTTAAATGTTTGAGCGATGGATAGTTTTTGTGCTTAAATTCATTGTAAGCTCTATGGAAAAAGGATTTAAAACCTGTCCGTAGGGAAAGCTCAGCGATAATTTTTTGAAAGCCCTATCTATCGAATCTGTTTGTGCTCATTGGTTCCTCATATATCTTGTTGATTTCCAAATTATGTACATTGTGGAACAAGTACTAATTGCATCATTCGATGATTAAAAAAAAAATCTACATGAAGCGAGTTTATGAAATGAAAGTGGAATCATGCTTGATGCTGATAAATCTTATATTAGCATGTAGGCCATAAATCTGGCCATTCTTTATATAGAAGTGCAATTTAAGCATATTCTTGTAACACACAACGATCCTCCTTATGGAATTGACAGGTTTATGACAATTCCATGAAGATGAATGCAGAACTTAGTGCTGCTGATGCGATGAGGGCTGAGCTCATGCATGTTCAGGGTGAAATAGAAAAGTTGAATGTAGAACGGAAGGATCTTACAGCCAAAGTTCAGATGCTTACCCAAGACATGGAGAGGGCCTCTGCCGAATTGCAGCGGGCTTTGGCAATTAAAGCTGAAATTGAAGCCATGAAGCAGGAAGTGCAGCGTACTAGGTATATTTTTGGTGCCCTTTGCCTTTATTAATCCTTTAGGCAAATAAAAACGACATTTGTATTAGTATAATCCTCTTGTGAAGTTAATTCTTTTTAATTGGGTTCGACTGAGAAATTGTTGATTCATTGAGGTTTTGTAGAATGATTAGATGCCTCATAAGGGTAAAAAGTTCTTAGCTATATTCTTTTTTCAGCAAAAGGATGACATGGGAAATCGGCTTACTTTATTTGATCTTTAAAATGGAGATAAGCTTGGGAATGCGTTGATTTACAGGGATGCTATAAAGTACGAAAAGAAGGAATATGCTGATAATTATGAGCAAGGTTAATTACTAGAAAAAAATCTAATATTGATGGCTCGCAAAGTAGAAAAGCTACGCCTAGAGGTGGCTAATGCTGAGAAGAAGGCTGGAGAGGGAGAAGCTGCTGGAAATCAAGGTACATGCGTCACTTTTTTCCTGCAATTGACAGATCAAAGTTGCTCATTCAACTTGGTTTTGTGAAAATAGGCACTAACAATCATCACGTCCAATTAATAATGAAATGATATTGAAAATTTGATAATTATAATAGGAGAAAATTAACTAATTTCCTCAAAATCAATTCTCGATCAAAATCAAAAGCATTATGCTAACAAATAACAAATTATGTAGAGGAAATATCTGAGGAATGAATTTAGCATAGTGGATAAAAATCTGATCTCACTTCATTGCAAGATGACTTCCAACTGAAACAGTAGTCGCATGTGCGTGCAATTCTATATATTCTCAGCAAAGAATTGAAAATATGAAGCTATTTTTCTCAAATTCTGTAGCAATAAGAGTTTATGGAGGACCTTTGGGCCTTCCTATGGCCCTATAGGATAATGAGAAATTATTCTGTGCGGAGTTCGAATATAGAGGATCTTACGGATTATTGCGTACCCTATGCGTAAGCTATGCCTACACTCTACGTATTTACTGCGTATTTGTAGGTACGCAGTAAATAAGCAGCAAATAATTAGTTGTGAGGATTTGCTGCATGCATATCTACGAATATGTGCACGTTTGTATTTATGTATTTAGGTTAAATTTCCTTCTTAATTTGATGTCTTGTCTTACCAGTTGCAACTCTTATAGTATCTTTGCTTTTTTTTTGTGAAGAAATTCAATTTGGTTTCCATTCTATCAACTACTTTACTTTGCCATGTATCAGGAACTTGTATCTCCGTTTCAGTTTTAATTTTGGAAACTAATTTTGTATTTTTTAACTGCAGGCTTTGTTGGGAACTATAGGAACCCTGATTCTAGCTATAGAGGAAACACTCATCCTTCTGGTTATGGCATGAATTCTGTGCGTCTGCTTCACTTGCACCAAAAATGAATAATCTTATATATTTTTATAAAATTTTATGACATTGTTGCATTTTAAGGTTCCCGGAGGTGTTGATACTGGAGCACAATGTGCAGCTTCATTTGGTCCTGGACATGGTTCTTGGAGTGCTTATGGGCAGAGATAAAATAGTAGGTTTTGACTGATTAAAACTTCTTTTGCGACGGATAGAAAGCTATTTTTAAAAGCAGTAAGAAAGCTATCTCAAATGAAGCTTAAATATTTCCCTTGAAATTCTTTCTGAATCCCCTTGAAGTGATGTTTACTAACATTCTAGGCTAGAAAACTGAAATCTGTGAGACCTGACTTGTGATGGTGGGATTTTTAGTTAATCATTATGAGTATTATTAGTTTGGATTTTGATTATTTTGATGTAGCAGTTAAATCTAAGTAGCCTAGAAGTCTAGCATCAATGAAACCCTCTCTGTGTAGTTGAAAACGGCAAATAGAGTACATTGATCAAGAAGGACCGAATGATCCTCAATTCTGATTGTTTTCCTAAAAAAAAATTTTCTTTGCTGATGAATGGTGGTTTGTTCGCTTGATTCTTCTTTAAGATTACAGTGCAATGAAGAGATGTTTCTTTCTTTCTTTCTTTATTTTTTTTAAATCTTTTACATATATTTTATGTACTATTATTAAATATAATTTGTGGAGCTTGGTATTATTAGTATATTCAAAAATTACCTAAATACTCGAGACATCAAAACTTTGAGGCCTTTCTTAGGCACAATTAGAATTAGGTTTTATTTGAGATAGTTTTTTTACTAATTTTTAAAATATTTTTTTAATAAAAATTTTTATTTAATTAGAAATCTTCTTTATATTTAGTTCTAATATTTTTTTTTTATACTTTTGTGATAATTTTATTACACAATTTTTTTCTTCTTTTTTCTTGCTTAACTTTTTTTAAACAACTTTTTTAATATGTTTATATTATTTTAATATTTATATATTTTTATATTGAATTTACCCCCTGAATTGAAGTTGATACCGCCCTTGACACAAAGCAAAATAAGATAGTTTTCTTACTGTCTTATAAAGTTATCTTAGAAAAGAATTTTTTTTAAAATTATTATAGAAAATAGTTTTTTATTTTCAAAAAAAAAAAAATAGTCATATAAAAATTATGATTGAGCTTTAAAAAGAAAAATAGTAAAAAAAAAGTCTCAAATAAAAAGGATTTGCCATGCCATGCTTGGAATAACTGAAAATCTCAGCCACCTCTTCATTGGATTGGAGGAAACACTGACTCGAGGAGGATTTCCAAGTAGATTCTTTTGGAGATTTTTAAACAAAATGCAAATATCTAATATTAATGATTCGTTGTCCAATCAACCCAACCATCCACTTTATGCAACTAAAAAAATAAATATGGCTCAAATGAATGATTAGCAAACATATTGAGAGCCAAAAGCAGTAAAATATCATTGTTGGTAGAGGATAAATGACACTCTGTTAAAAGTGAGATTATTATGTGCAGAATTTGAACGTGTTTGGAGGCTAATCTGGATACATCATGTCATTCATGCACTGTGCATTGGGTGATGTGACGTGTCTGAATTGACCTCTGAATGCATCTGGATGCCGCACATAATAAATTTTCATGTTAAAATGATATAAAACTTCACAAACACTCGGAATGCACACTTTATATATTTCCAATATAAGCAATCCACATTCTTCTGGCAACCCTTGAGGTATAACAAGCCATATCTAAACCAAAGAAAGGTGATTCCTTCAAGAATAAGAGACATGTGAACAAATAAGACTACAATTTATATTAAGATCATAAAAAAATGCCTCTTCAAACTTATAGGATGCTATAAATATCATGTAGTTTGATGAAGGTTTCGTTTGGAACAACTTTACATTATTATTATTTTTTCAATTTCAAGAGATTTTTTGACTAAAAAGTAGCTTTACAAAGCAATAAAAAAATTGTCCCAAACGAAGCTGAAGAAAAGCATAAAAAAAAAAAAAGAAAAAACATAAGCTTCATTTGGAACATTTTTTTTGTTGCTTTTTAAAACAACTTTCCAATATAAAAAATTCTTGAATTAGAAAATTTTATAATATAAAACTATTTTAAAATTCAATACAAAAATTGTCTCAAACGAAACCCTAAACTCATACTTTTTCTTTTGCTCTTTTTTGATGTATATCTTCTATTATCAAATTCTATTGTGTCCTCATATTTATCCCATGCATAGCTCAACCGAATATTTAACATTAACAATTTTGCATCATTTTTTTGGTATGTGTTCTAAACCTTATAAAAAAATAAATTTACAGATATTCCTATTTATTTTATTTTTTAATTTTGAATATAAAGGTCCACAAAAACCCCTAGCAACTTATTGAAAATCAGCATATTGCCTCCCTGACCGTTTTCCTCCCATCGCCAACTCCAAATGGCCGTTCCCAGTCCCCCGCCATGGGCGCCCCCACATGAGCTCGTCTCCCGCCATCCTGCCCTCCACCACCTCCTCTTCTGCAACTCCATGCCGCACTTCCTCCAGATCCACGCTCTCTCAATCACCACCGGCTCCGCCTCCGACAACCTCGCCGCCTCCCGCATCCTCTCCAACCCCGCCCTCTCTCCCTCTGGTTCCCTCCCCTACATTCGCCGCCTCTTCCTCACAACCCACAAAGCCGAGGCCTTTATGGCCAATATCCTCCTCCGCGCCTACGCTTCCCTTCCGAATACCATTCCCGCGCTCTCCTTCTTTGTGGAAAGCCTAGAGTCCTCCCGCCTCCACCACCCCGACGCCACCACCCTTGCTCTCATCCTTAAGGCCTCCGCCGATGCTGGTGATCTTTCCTTCGGCAAAATGGTTCACGCGATGGCGCTAAAGCTCGCCCAGGCATCGGATGTCTCAGTTCAGAATTTTTTGGTTCGGATATACGCTTCTTTTCGGTTAATAGAATCTGCAAAGTTGGTTTTTGATAGTATTTCCAACTCCAACGATGCGTCAAGGAATATAATGCTCGGAGCTTATTTGAAATGCGGTCTTCTTGATGACGCCCGACAGGTGTTCGATGATATGCCTGGCAAAGGCGTTATCTCTTGGAGTGTCATGATTAATGGTCTTTTTCAGAATAATCGTTTCAGTGAAGCGTTGGAACTTTTCAATAAGATGTTGATGGAGAAGATGGAGCCAAACGAGAGTATTTATGTGAACGTTTTCTCTATCTGTGCTCATCTCGGCGCCATTGAGCAAGGCAGGTGGGTGGATAATTATCTGCTAAAAAAAGATTTTACAGTCACAGTGCGTATTGGCACAGCGATGATAGATATGTACCTTAGGTGCAGTTGTGTGGAGAATGCCTTAAATGTATTTGATCTAATGCAGGAAAAGAACTCAATGACATGGAGCGCCATGATCACCGGGTTGGCCATCAATTGCCGTGGAGAGGATTCACTCAAGCTTTTTCAATGATGGAGCTTTCTGGAATTTTGCCGAACGAAGTAACCTTCATTGGGGTGCTGAATGCCTGTAGCCATTCGAAGCTCGTCGATGAAGGAGTGAAGTATTTCAAATCAATGGTGAAGGTTTATAACATTCAGCCAGACGTTCACCATTACTGTTGCTTGGTTGATCTCTATGGCAGAGCAGGAATGTTGGCTGAAGCTGAGGAAGTGATCAAGAACATGCCGATGGAGCCAAACAGTGCAGTCTGGGGATCACTGCTCAATGCTTGCAGAATTCATAGAAATGCATTCTTAGGAGAGAGTTGGGAAGAAATTGCTCGAGTTGGAGCCCGAGAACAGCGGGCGCTACTTTCTGCTATCGAACATCTATGCCGGCAGAGGAATGTGGGAAAAAGTTGCAGAGGTGAGGAGAATTATGAAGGAAAGGAAGGTGGAGAAGACACCTGGGAGTAGTTTTATTGACATAAAGGGTGAGGTTCATGAATTCATGGCTGGAGATGGTTCCCACCGTCGAAAAACAGAGGTTTATGGGAAGCTTGAGGAGATGAAGAGGGAGTTGAAGCTGGCAGGGTACAAGCCAAAGATCAAACAAGTGGTGATTGATATGGAAGAGGAGGAGAAGGAGAGTTCTCTTTATCATCATAGTGAGAAGCTGGCTCTTGCGTTTGGTTTGATTGGATGTGAGAGAGGGACGACGCTTAGGATCATGAAGAACCTTCGTGTGTGTAAAGATTGTCATTTGGTGATGAAGATGATATCCAAGATTTATGGAAGGGAGATTGTACTTAGAGATCGGTGTCGGTTTCATCATTTTGGAGATGGTGTTTGTTCTTGTAATGACTACTGGTGACTGATATGATATCCTTCCTGTCTTAGGGAGGAGGAATTATTCTGTGCGGACGTAGGATTACTTAGAGACGAATCAGAATGCGTTATGTCATCCAGACAGCAAAAAAAAAAAAAAATGATGTGGCGCATCCTGATTCACCTCCGAACGATGCCTGACGCCTGGTGTCCGCACATACACTAGATCGTTTAAAGACGAATCAGAATCAGAATACGCCATGTCACCCGGTACACAACAAATAAGTGAGATGACGTGTTCTGATTCATCCACCTATACATTCACTACCTAGTCTCATGGTTCATGGCCTCGCCCAGTTATCTGCCACCCACCATCGCCACCCTGTTATAAGCGACGGGATGCGTGACGGTTCACCGCCCTTTAATGGCGGCTTTCGCGGGTCGCGGCTGCTTCCGCAGGCGTGGATTGAGGAGCAACTCGCGGATCAGTACCATGAGATACAGGGCTTGCTTCTCGATAATCAGAGGTTGACGGCTACTCACGTCGCGCTAGAGCAAGAACTTGCTGTCCTCCATCACGAGCTCCGGCGCATCTCCCACGCTGCTGGGTCTATGCAGGCTGAGAGAGATGCTGAGTTTCGGGAGGTATCTCTTTTCTCTTTGATTAGTTATAATTATATTTTTTTTTTTTGACTTTTTTCTTTTTGTTTCCTCGTTCTGGGGTTCTCTATTTTTAGATGTTTGAGCGATGGATAGTTTTGGTGCTTAAATTCATTTTAAGCTCTATGGAAAAAGGATTTAAAACCTGTGCGTAGGGAAAACTAGGTGATAATTTTTTGAAAGCCCTATATATGAAATCTGTTTGTGTTCATTGGTTCCTCATAAACCTTGTTGATTTCCAAATTATGTACATTGTGGAACAAGTGCTAATTGCATCATTCGATTAAAAAAAAAATCTACATGAAGCGAGTTTATGAAATGAAAGTGGAGTCATGCTTGCTGCTGATAAATCTTGAATTAGCATTTAGGCCATAAATCTGGCCATTCATTATATAGAAGTGCAACTTGAAGCATATTCTTGTAATACACAGCGACCCTCCTTATGGAATTAACAGGTTTATGACAATTCCATGAAGATGAATGCAGAACTTAGTGCTGCTGATGCGATGAGGGCAGAGCTCATGCAGGTTCAGGGTGAAATAGAAAAGCTGAATGCAGCACGGAATGATCTTACAGCCAAAGTTCAGATGCTTACCCAAGACATGGAGATGGCCTCAGCCGAATTGCAACGGGCTCTGGCAATTAAAGCTGAAATTGAAGCCATGAAGCAGGAAGTGCAGCGCAATAGGTATATTTTTGGTGCCACTTTGCATTTCTCAATCCTTTAGGCAAATAAAAACGACATTTGTATTAGTATAGTCCTCTTGTGATATTTATTCTTTATAATTTGGTTCGACTGAGAAATTGTTGATTCATTGAGGTTTTGTAGAATGATTAGATGCCTCATAATGGTAAAAAGTCCTTAGCTTTATTCTTTTTTCAGCACAAGGATGATATGGGAAATCGGCTTATTTTATTTGAACTTTAAAATGGAGATAAGCTTGGGAATGCGTTGATTTACAGGGATGCTATAGAGTACGAAAAGAAGGAATATGCTGATAATTATGAACAAGGTCAGTTACTAGAAAAAAATCTAATATTGATGGCTCGCAAGGTAGAAAAGCTACGCCTAGAGGTGGCTAATGCTGAGAAGAGGGCTGGAGAGGGAGAAGCTGCTGGAAATCAAGGTACATGCGTCACTTTTTTCCTGCAATTAACAGATCAAAGTTGCTCAAAAAATTTGGTTTTGTGAAAATAGACAATAACAATCATCACGTCCAATTAATAATGAAATGATATTGAAAATTTGATAATTTTAATAGGAGAAAACTAATTAATTTCCTCAAAATCAAAATTCGATCAAAATCAAAAGCATTATGCTAACCAATAACAAATTATGTCGAAGAAATTTATGAGGAATGAATTTAGCATAGTGGATAAAAATCTGATCTCACTTAATTGCAAGATGACTTCCAACTGAAACAGTAGTCGCATGTGCGTGCAATTCAATATATTCTCAGCGAAGAAGTGAAAATATGAAGCTATTTTTCTCAAATCCTGTAGCAATAAGAGTTTATGGAGATCCTTTGGGCCTTCCTATGGCCCCATAGGATAATGGGAAATTATTTTGTGCGGAGTCCGAACGTAGAGGATCTTACGGATTATTGAGTACCCTTTGCGTAAGCATTGCCTACGTTCTACGTATTTACTACGTATTTGTAAATAAGGGAGACCAATGCAGAATGATAAAAGGCTTACCAAAAAAAGAACCAAGGTCTACCCTACCAAACTAAATCATACTCCTCATGACAAGAAAATTTCACCAATAAAAGCTTTCACTTAATGCAAGAAGAGTAATATTACCTTTCAACTTTTAAGATTTAAGTATAACAAATCTTAAAGCTTCTAAGTAAGGTCTCTTACCTAGGGAATAACCAACCAGTGTCATTCCCCATTTTTTCTGATGCAACTGGAACATCTCGTTAAGAAAAAATAAGAAACATTATCTAAAGATGGAACAAAAGAAATAGAAAATGGTTTTGAGTGAAGATTGACGAGTTGTCAATAACCCATTCCAAGCTTTCATTCCCGATAAAGACTTCCCGGATGAAGAATCTATGACCATAACTCAAGTAAGTGGAGGGAAATCTTTTGAATGATCCATGCAAAAACAATATAAAGAAGAAATAAATCCTCTAGACAAAACTCCCTAGGGTTTTCAAGAACTCCTCAATCCAAATTAATAAATAAAATAAGTTTTAAAAAAATGCCACCTGTGTTGGTTAAATAACACATCATAGAAGTGATTATCAAAATCCTAATATTAAGCAACTCGTCTTGGTATGTTGGTTGGAAGTTTTGTTTACCAACCAAGAGGTTTTTGGCAGATTTAAGTCATGGATATGTGATGTGTGTTTGAGTTTGCCTTAATTTAAAGGTGTGAGTTGAGTGGGATCGAACTTAACTCAATAACGAGCTTGATAAGGCTCGACTAGTGAGCTCGGGAGCAGGATCAAGTGCGGAAGGCAGAACCATGACGTGCAGATGGTGAAAGGCATGGAAGGTGGAAGTATGTGTGAAAGCATAGGTGAGGAAAGCGGGAGTTTGGATTTGAAATAGCGTGGAACCGTGGATGCAAAAGCCAAAATCGAAATCGGAATCGGAAGCAAAAGAGAACGTCATACTTACGTCGTCTCGTGAGCTAGCTTGCATCCATCACCACGAGCCGTGCTCAAGCAGGCCATTTAAGCTTAAGTTCAAGCTCGCAATTTGGTTGACAAGCCGAGCTTGATTAAGCATGACTTGAGCTCAACTCAACTCGTTTATACCCCTACCTTAATTGCCTTAAATGCCCCAAAAAAATCCTAATATTGAATATCTCCTTCCTAATATTAGTTTACCATCTTTTTTTTTTTCCAATAAAATAAATAAACTAACAAATTTACTTAAATTTTAATAGAATCTATACAAAATAATAAGTATGAAGTTAAAATAAGAATCTCTTATGTACATAAAAATAGTTAAAAATATTAGGGTTTTATTTTATTATATATTTTAATTTACTTAAATTTTTATTTTTTTTATTCCAAATGTGATACCAGAAGCGTGCTCTATGAGCACACTTGAGAACCTATGAGGATGGAGAGAGAGAGAGAGAGAGAGAGAGAGAGAGAGAGAGAGAGAGAGAGAGAGAGAGAACAAGAGAGAGAAGATGTACCATGATAACTCAAATAAATGTAGTATAAGTGCCAATGGATGTCAAAGATGCAATAAAGATCCAAAATATTCATCTTTACCTTTTATTGATAGGGATCCAAGGGCTATAGATAAAACCACATTGAATAAAATGAATAAAAAATGCATAGATTAATGACTCTTAGTATATACTATCTTAGGCACGTGTCACACTCTGACTTGATGGGAGATTGCCTTGCTTGACATTAATTATCTGCCTCCGGGCAAGTTCAATAATGTCGGGTATTTGTTGGTGAATAGGCATAAGTCAGTCAATTAGTGAGCCTTGAATAGAGAGATCTATGACAGGCGAGAACTTTGAAGTTACTAGCAGCCTGCATTGAGGCCTTAGATCCCCTCGGGATGGAAGGCAAGTATAACTTGAGTTGCGGGAAAAATAGGCTCCATGATCGAAAAAAATTAAAAGTTAAAATTTTTAACATAAAAAATACAACATCATGAATAAAAAAAATGATGTTCTATTTATTAAAATTTGATCAACATAAAAAATTAAAACTATCATACTGATTTTCAGAATAATTGTAATATAAAAGTTAATTAATTATTGTAATCTTAAGACAAGAAGAAGTATCCATAGACATGCTATAATGCTTTAGCACTCTTCGGGGTTTGGCCATATTAACTAATGAGTCATCTTATCGTTCCAATTATCAATTGCCAGTTCCATCCAAACGAACAGTATATACTTAGTGCTTCTGACCCAAATTGGCCTTATCAGACTTATCTTACAACTCATCACTTGCACCACTACCACCAACCCTCTTATTATTACAAAGCAACCAAACTTTTTCATCTATATATGGAAATAGTTGATGAATCACCCTATAATTTTGGCTGCATTCATATAGTTCTATTGCTCATATGCTTTGCTATATTATACGAAAGCCTCACAACAATAATTTTTTATCCCATTATATGGGATCTGCTACATGAATTTTTTTTTCTCTATTATGTTCTATTATATAAGAGTTAAATTCTCATTAAATAAATAAAAAATTATTTTGAATATTTTCTAACAAAATCTTTTTCGGTATACCTCAACCTTTCATAATATAGGATGAATCTAATACATTTACTATTCGGGGATGTTTGGTAGCACCCAGGATTTGATTTAAGTAGGATTTCATAAATCATGTAAATACAGATTTCGGAAATCTTGAGGGGCCTAAATCCTGAAAATTGTTTCCTTTAGTTAGATCCTAATCCTTTAAAGTATTAGATTAAACTAAGATAAGGTTTGGTAGGATGCTGGTTGCTTCTGTAAGTGCCAGAGGGACCTTAAAGTCTAA